AGAGGAAGGTTTCTGCTAGTAAATTATAATAGCATAATGAGGGAGTTTGTCGTTTCTAGCCAGCATGTAGGACAGGAAGGATGTGTGGCTTGTGTTTGAAAAAGCGAACAAGGTTGGTGTCAGCGTTAGCAGGGGGGAAATGGCCCTGACCTGAATGTGGGCCAGGGGGGCAGCTGAAGCCTTACCCTCCTCTTCTGTGAGACATTGTGTATGTGCTGCCCCAGGGACTGTCAATGAGGGCTAAACATCCCCCCAGCTCTCCCTGCCCTGCTACACATACCCCTCTCTCAAAGTGAAGCTGAGCATCGTTTTTGAGGGAGAACCAGGACTGTGATCCTTTGCATGGAGGTGGGTGCAAGAGGCAAACTGGGTGTTTCCTACTTGGGATCGGTCTTAGGTGAGCACCAGGGTGCTCTGGAGAAAAACCCAGTCGAGCATGCTCAACATCAAGGTACGGGAACAACCCTCACAAACCTGGTCCTGACTTCTATCAAAAGCATGAATCCTGCTTGGGAGTTTTCTTCAGAAATAATAATAATAATAATTCTTGAAGCTATCTTTAGATTGTCTTAACTAAATGTACCTTTTATCTGAACCCCCTGTAGCAACCTGGCCTACCATCCAACAGGAACTAATTAGCAGAGACATACAGTAATAAAAGTAGTGTGCAGGCATGAGCCATCGCCTCGCAGGGAGTATTACCTGGATGAGCGCTACACTGACTGCAAGGAGGAAATTTGTGCAATTAATTGCTTCCTGATTAAAGGCATTTGCAGTCTGGCCCTTAAATCTTCAAGGTCTAAAAACACACGCTGAGTTAAAAATGGAATTTGCCCACAGTAGTCAAAAACATTGCCCCAGACAGCAGGATTCGGTGCTGTAATTTTGGTTGGGAATGAACACTTCGCTGTCTAAGCATATTACAGCCCAAGCCAAGTACATAGAAAGTGCTCCAGCCAAAACTAAAGGCCCACAGAAGGTCTTGCATGGGTTTAAAACAGTTTCTAAACCAGTTTAGTTGAACCCGTACAATTTTCCTGTGAGGACACTATCTTAGGGGAATTAATTTCACAGAGCATGAGGCAGCAGAGCCAGAACCCCCCCCCCCAGGACATCTCAGGCTGGAAGGCTATTTAAATGGTAATAAACTTCAGGGGAAAACAAAAAATGGTGACTGATTACAGGCACACCAGGAGAGGGGCTATTTGCTGTGAAGATGCCAGGAGGCAGCGCAGGGGCCTTCTGCCTACTGTGCACATCACTTGTCGCCAAGCAAACAGGATGGGGTTTAATCCCACCGAGGGAGGAGACCTGTTTCAGGCCGGGTGTTCGGCAGGAGGGAAGCGCTCGCAGTGGGAGGCTCTGGGTTTGGGTAAAACGAGGGAGGATGGAGGTGTGACAGGAGGCCGGGACTGCGGTTCCCGGTGCCAGGCGGCACCGGTGTGGGGCTCAGGTGGAGCCACACCCCAGGACTGCAGCTGATCCACCCTCCCTGCACACCCTTCATTAAGCATCGGAGTTCTCCCGAGGGCATTTCCTCCACCCTAACGCAGTGCCACGTACCGCGCCCGGTCAGATGAAGCAACTGCATTTTAGAGTGTCCAACTCTATTATTGCTGCCTCCTGGAAAGTTGCGACGCTGGTGATTTATGGAGCCTACTGCTCCCGCTGAAGAAGGGGAAGGCTTTGTCTGGGACCACAATTTGTCACACTAGAGTTGAGGTGTCACAGAAATGCACACTTTGCTCACGTGCTGCTGTTGCTCTAGTATCGCCCCCCTATCGCTTCTTTACCGGTTGGTTTTGTGAAATTCAACAGAGCTTTACTGATGCTCCACGAACGAAAAGCACTTTAACATCTAATTGACTGAGTGTAGGAGTGGGCCTCTCAAATTCAGGGGGACATATTATGCTGTTCAGTGTGTGCTTAAGTACCTTGCTGGATGGAAGTCAGAGGGACAAAGATTAGAGGTCTTTCCTTGCAACCCCCCCAATCCCCCTCCTCCCCACGTACATTGTCATTAGCGAGAGCAGGCAGGGAGGTATACGGCCTGAATTACGTTGAGACAGATGCATGGACTGTAATTTAACACGCAGTTTGGCCTCCTTCCTCCACAAAGCCAATCTGGCACCTCTGCTGGAGAAGTTACATTGCGGAGTGGGAAAACAAACAATCCTGCCAATTGTTAGTGGGGGGAAAAAAAGCAGAACAGGAGCTGCTTATCAGACACCCACATTTTGAGAGGAAAATTCACTGAATCCTGAGGAAGGAATGATTCTCCGCAGAGCTTCAAGTACTCTTCTGACAACCCCATCCTGCAGGAGCTGGGGCAGGGAGCTGGGCCCCTTCCTATTGCGAAAACTGGGTCCGGAGAGCTGAAAATGAACATAACAACAGGAGTCCCCAGACTGCAGCAGTGCTGTAAAGCTGCAATTGAAAAAAACCAAAACACATTAGTCATAACAAATCTGACTGGCAGAGGCGGTTGTGATGAATTGTAATTTTAGAAACAGTAGGAATGACTCAAAGCCCAGAGAACTTGAAGTCTGGAAGTGTTTGAGGCAAAGTTTTCCCTCGGCCCACAGACAGGCAGGGGGTGTCAGAAGTTCAGATCTCAATTTTGCCCAAGTTTGCAGGTGTTTAGATTCACATGCCTCGTATCGCAAAGGATTTGGCTCACCCTCTCTCACCTTCATGAGAATTTTGATTTTGACTGGATCAGCTTTCTGGGAGGACAGAGAAAGAACTCTGTGTGTCAGTACGAAAGAGCTGCATGATTCATTTTTTTTAAATAACTTGACATCATCATTAATCCAAGCATCTCTAAGGACTTCCCAAGCAGCAGTGAAGTTAATGCTACCTGCTCTTCTCCCTGGTCCACCTCCCTAACGCAATACATTCAATAATCACATGCCGACATATTAGCACATCCGAACAAGATTCCCAACAGCTGCAGGGCCAAATTGTATTTTGGGTAATCTTCGCCGATGCCTCAGAGTCCAGCTCCTGCCATGACATGAAGAGATTAATATCTCAGCTTTCACACCTGCTTTTAGCTCTTGTACTGATCTATGAGAACAAACTGAATGCAATTGTATCTGCTCACGTATACGGCGGGTGCTCGTTTTCCCTGCGCCGAGGTGATGCTCGCCAATGCAGAGCTCTTGTGGGACCCCCACTGGTAGCCACGTGCCATCACAGCTCTCTTCAAGTAATTTGGGGAGCAAGTTCTCTCCATCCTCCCATATAATCTTCTGCTTGGGTGAGAAGCAGGCTGCTCAAGCCATCGAAGGGAATGCAGCTGTGATCCAGCCACTGCATGGGGAGGGAGAGAGAGGATAAATACCACAGGGTCGCAGAAGGGTGATCTAAAATTGCCTTAAAGCTGCCCTGATCAGCCATGTAAACCACCGGGGAGGGGGGAACACTGCTCAGTGGTCAGCACAGGCCAGGCCTCTTGCTAGTACTTTCTCTCTGCTGTGTCAAACAGATCACATCTGTAGCAGAGAATCTAGTTCAGTCTGTAACCCTGAAGTTGAGAACTGTATTACAGGGCACGCTGAGGCCACTGAAGTTGTATTAGCGAAGTTTCCTAAATACTCAAGAGGTAATTACTCTGTGTCCAAGGTGGCTCAATCAAATTCTGATCTATTACTCTAGTCAGCATCCCTTGTAATTATAAAGGGCGTAAATCTCTTTTCACAAAACCAATATAATACGTAAGATTAGGAAACATGCTTTCCACAGTTTGTGGTGTTTCTCTCTCCGCTACCTTTCAGAGTCTGTAGGGATTGAATGCATATCACAACTCTTAAACCTCTGAGGAAAAAGTATGTGTCTACAGGCTATGCTCACAAAACTCCTTGACAGGTAAGCCCCATTCTGGATTTGATTTTCTTCAGAGAAAACACACTGAGAGTTTGCAGAACTACTAATATTTTTAAGTAAAAGGTAACCCAATTAAAACATAAGAGTTGTGCAGCAAAGGGAATGTAAAGACTGCATAAGTTATGAAGATTGGTGGTGGGGACCTCCTGCATTATTGTGCTGGAGTGCAACGCTGCGTTATGAGCATGAGCTCTCACTGGAATTTCAGTCCAATACTGAAGTTAAATGACAAGAGGTCACACAAGCTTGACTTTGAGAAGTCATTAAGCTGAACATCTTACACAAGACAGCTGAAGTTGGGACAAGCGACTTTTCACATCTCTGCAGGGGCTTGCAGTCTAGCAGAGTGTCTCTCGGGCAGAACAAAACTCACATGTTGGTACCTACCTTTAGAAAAAGCAGAAAGCTGAGATCCTCAGCAGGATGCCCACCGACAGTATAAACACACAGCAGGAAAAGAAAACATGAAGAATTAAGAAATTAACAGTACAAAAATTAGAAAATGCAGAAGAAAAGCACTACCAAGG